CAGGTTGTTTTGCTGTTACTTGATTGGATTTTTTTTTTTTTTTCTTGCCGGAGTGTTATATCCTTGATTTTTTTCAGGTGGTGTGACTGTAACTTGATTAGATCTTGATGATGATCTCTCTTGGATATTGAACGGTCTTCTAATGATTTTAACTCTTGCTATTGGCCACGGACACACTACCGATGCATGAAGATAAAACCACAAATCAAGATGGAGAGAAAAGTTAGTTCCCAGTGGAATCGATGAAAAAAATCGATTCGATTGGTTTTACTTTCGTTGAAAGGTTTTGATTTTAAAAATAAGACCAAATAAATCTCGAATATTTAATTGCTCAAATAATCGAACACAATATTACAAGTAACATGTCATCTCAAAAGATGAGAACATCACTTAATAATGAGTTCAATTATTCAAACTAAGAAATTTAGGATCTTTATTTGGTCTGCGAAAATACGAACGAAACGTTCCCCTATCTGATTCTAAAACTAGATAGGGTTTAAATTATCTGAGTTACTAATTTTCTATATGCGTAACCCCTTATAGTTAATTACATTTTAAGCGATCAAAATCACTTAAGATAACTCTCAATTAAAATTTAGGCTATGTTTTCAAGAATTCAATGTTTAGTTTCCATGATTGATTATATGAAAATTAACTGAGAAAGATTCAATATGAAATAGTTATTTCTGAAACTTTAATGATGAAAAGTAGGAGATGCCGAAGATACCGAGGAAACCTCAGTAACATCTCAACTATCTTATGATTTGAATTTACATTTTTGAAAGAAAAGTTATTTGATGTTTCAATCTTGACATTCATTTAGAAATTTATAACTTATATCTCACGATATAAGATTGCTAGAAAGCCTAGGAAGATGAGAATTTACGTCGTGCTGGCGAACAACTTCAGATTCCTAAAACTAAGGCAATTTCACCGAAGAAAGTGAAACATTAAAAACCTAGTCCAATGAAAGAAATCACAAACAAACATGTAAAATGGACTTATAATCTTATCTAGAAATGACTGCAATCTAAACCACCTAAACACATTTTAAAACCATGAAAGTCAGTTTTAATGAATGCAAGATATGAAAGGTTGTTGTTTATTAATAATTAGAGGACTTACAACTTGATCGTAATGATCAAGATGCCTAAGTATGTATGGTATGCAAAATGTCCTAAAACTAATGCGAGTTTATTTTTGCAATTTAAAATTAAAGATTTTAAAACTCACTACACTCGAATAAATTTTATTATTTAAGTTAACTATTAGTGTCAAGTGATGAACAACAAACTGTGAAAAAGAATGCACGTTTTTGATGTTGAATGCACAAAAGATTTGTTCAAAAGACCAATTGATATGCAGGGAACCCACTTTATAAGGTAGTGATTTTCACAGGTCAAATCACCTCTTTCCGTGCAATGAGTGAGGGTCTGAAGATGTGAAATAGAACCAATATGAATATGCCTACGGTGTTCTTTTCATGGCAATTCCTAAATTGTAAAGAGGTTCCTACTGTGTCTTATTAAGCTTTCAAATTTGTTATTTTAAATACATGGTTGACTAGGGTGAGAATGTGGCGTGTTAATGCAATTTTGTTTGGGATTATGAATTATATTTTATTTTGAAAAATTATATTTCAATTGTTTGGTTGGGATGGAAAATATTGTTCTTATAGAGCCTACCACGCAACCAGATAAAAGCACAAACAGAGCACCGTCCTAAAATGGGGACATACCTATCGAACGAACACAAGACACAAACAACAAGATGAGTGCCTATCCTAAACCTTTGTTTGACTCGTGGATCAACATCATCCGAAATATCGTTGATAGTTTAGTTGAGGTCATCATTCGCTTTGTGTTTCTTCTTTTGGATAGTTCAGACGTTGATAGTCGACTGACCACAACACCTCCTAACTCTAGAAACGAAAAATGATGACTCGAGAGGAAAACCTATGTGAACTATGACAACTTAGTATCAACTACAACAATCTCGCAGAATAGAGTTAACATCTCCTAAGATTACTATGAAAGCCTAGAAACATGCAAAGTAAATTTATAACAATCTAAACGAGCAAACACAACAATCACAGTACAAAAACTATCTACTCATATGACGTTTAAAAGGAGAGTGGCTTATGACGTAAAAAAGTTTGTTAAGGTGAGTGTGAAGAAGATGCCCATGACTTTCCATCGCCCCAGGGTGTTATGGTCCCTGATTTATTTAGCCCAGAGAGAGTTAAATCTATTCCGACTAGAAAATTTTTGTCAGCAATCATGAGTTGCGTCGTCCAAGAAATTTTCATATAGCTGGATAGAGGGGTTAAAGTTGTGTTCGATGATGTTGGTTTTAGGGGTTTATTTTTTGTTTTAGTGACTTATGAGCTTCATGGATCTTATTTATTTTTGATTTACTTCTTTTATTGGTTTTGGGATAATTACATAATTAAATTTAATTTTCTTTAAAATTTTATCAAAAAAATTATCGACTCCCTTATGAGCTTCATGGATCTTATTTATTTTTGATTTTTGATTTACTTCTTTTATTGGTTTTGGGGTAATTACATAATTAAATTAAATTTTTCTTAAAATTTTATCAGAAAAATTATTTTGACTCAAGTCTAAGTGATTTATAGAATCATTGGGATTTCTATAGTGACTTTCGAAATTGAATTTCAAACCTCTTCCATAATTTCCCAGTTGTTCTAATGACACTTAAAATCCATATGAATTGTTATATATATTTGGTGAATTGGTTACTTAGATATCATTTGGAATTTGTTATTATGTTATTATTATTTCTTTATTTGGTTCTTCTTTGCTTATTTGTTTTCTTGATGAAGATTTTATTTGATTTTAGGTTATATTGGGAAGCTTATTTATTTATTTATTTTTGGTTCACAAGAACATATTTATAAATGCCTTTGAATCGATTCATTTTTAATGTGAAGGTTTAATTATTATATTATATATTATCTTATTGAATGTTGAGTTAATTATTTAAAGTTTCAAATACTGTTAATTTTATTAATTGAGTTTTTATGTCAATGAATTTTGTTTTAAAGTTTAAAAGTTATTAAGGATTATTAATTTTTATTGTATGTGAATGTGTTGATTATATTTAGTAAGGTTTTAACCTAAGCATATGTTCTATGTTTACTATCATAAGGTTTTCTTTTCAAGCATCGAGAATGCAATAAATAAAATACGGAAGAGGAATAACATTGTCATGTGTTCAAACAAAACACATATTCAAATATGGTAAATAAACAAGGAATAGAACATATAGAACTTACCTGTCATGTCCAAGGCTGTTTCAAGTGGTTTTTTTGAAAGAATTATAATATATGAGCTCACAACAATTAGTGTATATATGTCAACTTTGAAACACAAATGAGAGAATAAAGTTATTATGAAAAATTGCTAAAAGAAATTAAGAGGCCCTCCTTGGATTTGAGAAAGACAAGAATCCTAAAGCTAAAAGAGGTAAGCATTTTAATAATTATTTTATATTTAAATAAGATTTTTTTTAGAATGTAATCCTTATAGCTATAGGCATATTTAATGGGTTTAGGAGTTAAGTAGTGAAATGATGGGTTAAATTATCTCAGAGGTCTCTTAAAGCTAAGATGGGTAATTATTTTTTTATATGTATTAAATTTGAAGTTTATTAAACAATTATGATTGTATGCATGTTGTAGCTTAAGAATGAAAGAAAATGAAAGGCGAAAGGGAAAAAAATGCTTAATGTCTTTAAAATGAGGTAATTTAAATGAAATGAAATGAAAGTGAAATGTTTAAGTCATACAAGATTAACCCTAGATAGAAATGAAAGTTAAATGTTTAAGTCATACAAGATTAGCCCTAGATGGTACTGACAGGGGATGCAATGTACCCGTGCACGTTAAAGGAAATGGTGAAGGCGCGTCTTCCGGTGCAATTTGAGGGTATCTTCGAGTACATTTTAGATGACGTCATCTAACACATTTTGAGGGTGTCTTTGATCATATTTTTGAAAATACCTTCGGGTATGATGGTAATCCTGTGATGACTATTAAAGATGTTAAATTGATGAATACTTAAAGTGAAACAGGAAGATATAATTTTAAAGTTTAATGAAATGAATGCATTTTCTTCTAGCCATTCATGCATAACATAGTATAACATAAGAAATTTAATGCATATTAGACTATAATTACTTACTAAGTCAAACTTACAGTTGAAGTTAATGTTTTCTTTTAATAGAGAAAGCTTTAGGTTGATATGTTTGATAGGAGATACATTGTTTACCAATGGAGGACAAGTGCTGCTAGGTATAGTTGTTATGATGATAATTGCTCTTTATTATTTTTTTCAGTTATTGATATACTGTTTTGTACTATAGGTATATTTGTTATGATGATAGTTTCTCTTTATTACTTTTTTCAGTTATTGATATACTGTTTTGTACTACTTGAGATGTTATTTTTGGATGCTTCAGATTTTATTGCTTTTTGTGGATTAGTGACTCTTTTATATGTATTAGAAGTTTTTAAAATGTGAATAATTAGATGTTAGTACCGTCCGACTGTTGTTACTACCTTAGTTAATTCTAAACACCAGGTCGGGCCGTGCCAATGGTTATGATGGGATATTTCAATGAATTAAGCTAATCTCCATAGTGTGTTAATATCTTGATTTTAATTCGTTTTTTTTTTCGACATATTCTACTGTTAACCGGTGATGAAGTTTGTGATTTGCTTTTTTAAATTAAATCTGTAAGTTGATTTTTTAATTTTGAGGATGACTAAGAAAATCTTCATGATTTTTCACTGAATTTGCTGATGCAGGAACGCAGCGGCTTCCAAGGCTCATTGGCCTCCATAAAGCTCTTGAAATGATGCTGGTGCGACGTTACTAGTTGGCTGCTTATGGATTTCTTGCTCAATAGATTATTTTAGGCCTTATTCATTTATTTGAGTAAATTGATTTCTTTCAAAACAGTCGTCGAAACCTGTTAAAGGGAAGGAAGCTTATGCGCTAGGGCTTGTTGATGCCATAGTTTCACCTGGTGATTTGATAAAAACTGCTCGTCACCGAGCAATAGAAATTGCAGATTACAGACAGCCATGGATAAAGAGTCTTTTTAAAACTGACAAACTAGAGTCACTAAGGGAAGCTAAAGAAATTCTTAAGTTTGCAAGAGCACAAGCACAAAAGCAATCCGTTCATCTAGAACATCCACGAATTTGTATTGATATCATTGAAGAAGGAATAGTGTCAGGGCCTCGTGCTGGACTTCTGAAGGTGTATTTCTTATTTTCATTGGTATATTTTTTTGTAACATGAATATATGTATACATATTTTACATTTTACTTTATTAATTTCGTTATTCAGGAAGCAAATGCATCTTGGAGTCTTCAATTTTCCCCCACAAGCAAAAGTTTGGTGCATGTGTTCTTTGCTCAACGAGCTACAACTAAGGTCAACTGATTTGTTATTACCTTATGCGTACATCTTCGTTTGTGCTTGTGTTTGTGTTCATGCTTGAAAACCATATTTTAGTAAAACTTCTTTTCTCACAAATGGGATGCCCTGATGTGTTCCAATAATGGTTCAGTTGGAATTATCATTATAATAATGTTAATGATGTAGCTTTCTCGTAACAATTCCTTTAGATCTATTACACCATAAAAGGCTCTAGCTTGGTGGTTGAAGACTACGCTTCATAATGCTTGTTGTGCAATTTATTCTCGAGGAGGTGAGGCACACATCAATTACGCAACTAGACGTGTAGATCAAATAGTATATAAATTATGAGTCTGTGTATCTATTCTACAGAAAGCTGATTAATTTTCGATCGAGGCAAATTTTTAATTTAATAATCCTAGATCTAGTTTGAAATATTGAGTAATATGAAGTTCTTCTATGCTTTTAAATATTCTGAAAGCTAATGTAAGTGTTTTTGTTTTCTTGGTAAGAGATGCTTTGAATTGGATTGTATGAATCCTCAACGTTCTTCCAATAAATTTTCTCACCTAATGTTGACAATTGAGGACAATTACTCTTTACTCTATTCTTAGACATAAGAAACATTGGAGCTGCATCATTGTTAAGTTTGCTTAACCTTGCAAAGTCTCACAGGAATCCTCTAGTCTCTTATACAATTGCAATCTCCTATCGATAATATTCCTATTCTACTAGATGACCGAGTGTTATCTTATTTATTCTCCTAGCCCACGGTTAGCGGCTCCATATCACAAGTGGTTTTAACATTTCAACTAATCATATCAAAAGTAAATTAATATTGAAAAGATATCACACCAACATGCAATAAAACAATCACGCAGAGAAAAGTTGACTCGTCAAATTTCCATATCAAAGAAGCAAAAATGAACTTAGTTCCTAAACATTGTGAAGAAAACAAAAAAACTTTAAAAGTATTTACAACTAAGAGCAATCAAACTTGGTATGGACAATTCTCTTTATTTCACCACAATTCTTCCTCTTATAACGAAGGCTCACTTTGCTTTATTCTCCCAAGTACAAGAACTCTTATCTACCTCTCTTTTCTCCCACTCTCACACAAAATACACACATGACCTCTCTCCATTCTTTCACACAATACTTGAGTAAGAAAAAAAAAATGAGAACCTCCTCCATCTTGTCGAGTATCACCTGTTCAACCCATAGCAATCTTTGAATTGTCAAAATTGCCTAAAGTCAGTGCTGAGCGCTTAGGTGCCAGGAGCAACACAAAATTTTTGCCCGCTTGGATTGTTGGTGCAAATGGGAAGTCTATATCAGGATTCTAGGCGTAAGGAACATGAATCACGACACTGGTCCTAGGCACCGACTTTCCAACTATTCTGCATTTTGGCGAATTTGGGCTGGTTCAGGCGCTAGGGTGCTAAGATGGGCGCCTACGCCGATCTAGGACTTAACATCCATTTTTCTCTTTATGCTCCCCAATGCCGCATTCTTACATTTATTCTGCATGTATATACACAAATATCACTGAAAAATATAAAAATAAAACAAATAATTTATAAAATATAGGAAATGGAAGGTCACATAAATTCAAGGTGCATACATCTCTTCTTAAGATTGAATTTCTTAAAAATTCCTAATATCCCAACATAACTTATATTAATACCCTTTCTATATAATTATTTCTAAATTTCTTATATTTGGTTGGCTAAAATAAAATTAATTCTCAAATATATATAATTTAATTAGGATAATGAAATAAATAATTTTAATTTAGTTATTATATTCTTGAATACAAACAATATTGTGAAGTTATAATTTAAGAGACTTTTTATAATTTAATTTTTAAAATGGGAGACTGGTGCTAATTTTTGAGTTCAATCATAACCT